TCGGGTAAAGTGAAATACAAACGTGTTACAGGTCTAAGGCGTTCTTCACGCAGCATTGGTTTAGTATTTAAGTCGTTTACTGCCGTACGCACCCTGAAAGTTGTGTGTGTGTCTGCAGCAAGCGCGTGTATGTGTACCTATGGACGCGCGCGCGTGTGTGTGGGGGGGGGGAGCGGTAGCGTTGTGGTTAGCGCTACGCTGCGCTACGAACCCGGCGACCCGAGTTTAATTCCTGCTCACGGCCACCACCGGTGACGATTATTTGAACCGGTCCTGGGCCTCCCCTAGGTCGACTCAGCCTCAAACGAGTAGGTGGTGTGGTGTGTCAACATCGCCACTGGGGAGAATCCAAGCCCAGGGCGAAGCCGGGTAGTAAAGCTAGTTGTAAATATATCACAAATATTGGAACGATATTGTGTGTTTCTTAGTTCTGTCTTAAAATAAACAACTCGACAAAAGTGGGTAAAGTCACCATTATTAAAAATGCAGTGGGGGCGGGAGGAAAGGGAAAAAAAATCTCACTTGAAAATCGAATTATCGATTACATTTGTTCAACCCCATTATGGTCTCTTTGTAATTTGGACCGGAAAAAAAAGTGACGTTAATAAAAAAAAAATTTCGAACGTCATAAGTTCCGCTTGGAATTTACTCTCGAGCAGAGCCGCAAAGAGGGCCACGTAGCTCAACCGCGTGGCCCCGTTTAGAGCCCTACCCGTCTCAGGAAAGGCAAGCGCATTCATGTTTGTGGTTGCAGTGTGGCGGCAACCTGATTTATCGGCAAACAAAGATATATGTCCACATTTTTTTGCTTTGCTTTTAAATTACCTCACGTGGTGCGGCGACTGTGTGCTATGTTCTGTACGTGCGGTATCGATTAAGTGTACCTTTTTATTTAATCACCTGAGTTTGTTTTGTCATTTCTTTCTCGCCTCCAAACCAAGAAAGTCTCACTTTTTAACGTTAAAACTTTTAATGAGAGCCCCACTTAGGATGATATCCTGCAGCATGCATATTTCCCTTTCACAATCTTGCAAATGGGCCACACGTCTCAGTCGATTCTACCTTTGCTCGTAAGTAAAGTTCATAAAAGTGAGTAAACTATATACAAACTCCTGGCTCGCACACAGTATGGGGGGGGGGGGATGGTCCACGAAGAGCTTACCCCAAAGTGACCACCCACGCATGACCTGACGAGTCTGCACGTGGCTCTCGGCAGAGAGAGGAAGTTATTGTTTTGTATTTCCCGCTCGGCGAGCTAACCCCACCGACGGACTGAGGCGACCCGATCGGGCTCCGTCCGTCTCCCACGGAAGGAGTTGTAGTGCCAAGCTAAAGACAGCTTGAATCCGTGCACGTACGTATGTTGAACTTCTACCGCATCACAACGGGGGCAACCGTGCTTATTGGGATGTGACAACAAACTTAACACAAAAGGCAGTTCTAAAGAAATGAGATTTCAAACGAGAATCCAAAGTGCTTTAGCTCCCAGTGGCTTCCTGGAATCGGAAGGAAGAGCGTTCCAGACGGCCGCAGAAACGCATCTGCAAGCGCCGCGATGCGGTGGCCGTCTTTGTTCGATCGATCGACTGTCACTGCACCGCTCGCTTTCAGACGCGGCGCCTAGAGCAACTCGACAACAATGATGGCCATGACGAAGGGGGGGGGGGGGGGTGGCTGCGGGTGGGGAGTGAAATGGCCCCGATGTGAATTGCAAAATGGCAGAGTTGAGGCATTTTCTAGGCAAAAAAACCAGCCGTCACCGGTCCCCGCTAAAGAGTGGCGGAACGACGAGGACCCAATACGGCCGCATCAATCGGGCCCCTTCGTCTCGTGCCACGACGCGAATAGCGAAATCGGACATAAAAATGTTAAAAAAAAAAGAACAAGGCAATATTAAAAAGAAACAACATTAAAAAAAGAAGCAACGAGCGTGTAAAGCTGTTCACCGCGCCACGTGAACCTACCGAGGCTATACACAGACATTGCAGAGGCATCGCACAAATTAAGGCGCATTACATGTCCCCCTATCGCAGGCATGTGCACCTAATAATGCACCATTTTAGGCTGAGTGGGGGAGGTATCTAAAGAATGCGCACAAAAAACCCAGATCCTTTATTACCGTTAGGTCATATTATTATTATTATTATATGTTGCGCATAGCTCCAATGTAAGTCTCTTGGACGTTGATGAATTTAAGACTTGCCTGTGAGCTGACGATTATCCCTAATGTAATAGCTCCAATTGTTGCTCTACACGCTTGCAATTTCAGCTCAGAAATTGGTTGGCTGGTGCGTTTTTTTGTTATGCATTCGACAGCGTTAGGGCGCCATTAACTAATGTGCCAGTTCGGGGAAAGAAAAAAAAAGACCGACTCAAGTCGCGCGTCTTGCACGATTACCACGTAAAACCTTATTTAGGGTCGTGTCAAGGAAAGGTCATTAAGGCTCTTCCCAAAACATTTTTGTCGTAAAAGTTTACGAATCCATTAAGGTCTTCGGGAGTAGTGCCGCGTTTATAGGCCCATTCGAGGTGGCAGAGTTGGAAAGCCCTTAGAGTCAGCATGCGTCACTCGTTTAGTGTCAAGTTGAAGAAGAAAATAAAATCCCGTGAAATTTCAAGAGACTCCATGTGTCCCCCTTCACAGACCTACTCACATAGCCGAAGGTAACGATCCTATGGACAACCGCTTTAAGTACCATGCCAAGCACGATGGGTTTAACGATGCATCGATTTTTGTCTAATCGTAAGCTAAACAGTTGCATGCATCAACCCATGCGTTTAAGAACCTCATGCTTTTCGACAGTGGTGACGCATTCGCCAGTCATCCCGGGTCAACTAATAACACCTGCTGGGTCTGTCCCGTGACCGCCTGTCAGCGAGCCTTCCACACTTCACGTGGCCTCGAAGTGCACCTAACCTGGCACAAACGCCGTGGCGACGTCACCGCCACTTCGCAGCGACCGGCGGTTGTCGCTCAATGTCTTGCCAATGTTGCGTGCACAGAAGTAATGGGTTTCACGTGACTCCCCACGGCCGATAGGGGTCGCTGCAGTAACCGCAAAGTTCACAACCAAAATAATCCATTCTTGAACCCCGCCTGAATCCCGGCGATCGATCGAATTGGCCGGAGGTGTCCGGGTGGGGTGACGGTTGCTGTGAAAGATTACAACAAATCTTACACCGTCAAGGAATACACCTAGGGCCCGTCGATGTTCATTTGAAGCGAATGTTCCTCGCCTGGTTTAATGTATGTATATATATCTAAATCCGATAACGTCGATTGAACGCTCATCCATTCCCGCACACGCCACGGGGAGCCTACGCAGGCAGGCGACGTCACAGTCGATACAACTGGCCGAACACACTTTCATATATATATAGAGAGAGGACCGCAGAGCTTGCGGGAATTGTTCGCGCCGAACCACCGCCGTCTGTGGTTCATCCCGGCGCTTCTGAGTCGTCGCCCCCGAACTCCTCTTTCTCTACGAGAGCGAGCCACTGCCGTGTGTCGGCGGCGTCAGTGTTCCGAGTTAAACTGCTTATCATCGAGCCATAGGGCCGCCTTGGAGGAGGAGGCACGTATGATTAAGCGCGCGTGAGATGTATCATACGGCCATTTAGATACGAGTGACAATCGAGGCTTACACCGCGCCCCGCACCACCATCACTCGCCCCCCCCCCCCCCATCGCTCTGGCAGCCCCTCTAATTGGATATTAATGCGTTAATTACCACTGGAGCGTCAAAGTGTTGCGTTCCCCAATGGGCACAATGACGGCTGAGAGCAAAGGAGCAAGAGGGAGTTCCAGAGCCGTGTGTTGGAACGGCCGAGTCCAACTGTTTAGGATCCTAGGCAGACTCCGATGCGCTACGTAACATCATCCTCACCAACGCCACACACACACACACGGCGCTTCGTAGCAGTCGCAACGGTCTGGAAAGCTGTTCTACGAAACTTGTTTTTGTTCCAATTGTGTGACTTTTGAATAGGAATGTTGGTGGTGGTGATTGTTGTTGTTGCTGCGCTTGTTTGTCCAACAAAAGCCTCGCTGAGTTTCTGGACTCTTTTTTTTTCTTTTCCGGAGGGTCCCGGCAAGTTTTTTTTTTCGCGGTAGAGGAGCGATGTTGTCGCGAGTGATCCAAATCGAGTAATTTGCAGGAACGTTTTCAGCATTAAGATGTTTGTCCAATATCAGTTTGTATTGCCTGTTGGTTATATTTTAGCGATGGGTTGAAACCGGAGAACCCAGAGGGAACCCACGCAGGACAGAGGGGAGAGGATCTGCAAACTCCACGCAGAAACGCGCCCGAGTGGAGAATGAAACCCAGGCGCTTCTTGCTGCGAGTCTACGAGTGTTACCACAGCACCACCCTGCCGCATCTGGTCAGATGACTACGTGAATATTGGGTGCAATAATGCAGTATAGTGTTTTTTTTTTAAATCATGGTTATGCATACTCTCTAGTGGTAGTGCCTTACGCCGATAATCCCGACTACAAGCCAGCTCTTAGAAACGTTCAGGAAATTACGGAGTGCGAAATAAAGCCCTGACTATCGAATATATATACACACAGTGCGCACTTTAGCCCAGAGACACAGCAAACAATACAAACGGTATCCATACACAGAAGCGTACGTGGAAAATGACTTCTTGGGTTAAACGGGAATGGCACTGCGGCAGGTGCTCGCGGTGTAATTAGCGAGGGCATTTGCAAAAATGTCAAGCGCATAATTATTCATTATTTGTTTACCCAAACAAAAGCACGTTGTCAGTATTGATTAAGTGCGCCCTTGTACGTGATTAAGTTGATCATACTTTAGGTGGGTGTGGTTTTTTTTGCGTATTTATATGTATATTTTATAACATACTGGCATCTGTTGGAGTAAAACAATATAAAGATCTTTAAAAAAAAAAACCCCACAACAAACCATAAAACTCCGATGACGCGTGCAAACCTCGGACTGCCCACACCGAAGCACTTCCCCACGCCGCTCCTCCGTTTGGTTCGCTCCTCGTGCCGCTGGAATTGAGAATCGACACCAACAAAACGACTCATCCACTCCCTCCCTACACCGTCCGTCCGCTCGTCGCCACAGCAGCGGCAGCAGCAGCAGCACCATCCAGGCACGTCGCCTGGTGCGAGATACAGCACAGTGCTCGTCGGGTGGGGGAGATCAGCGGTTCGATCAGTGCAGTGCTCTCGGTAGCGACCGTTTCACAGCCGTACTCCGACGTTCCAAATTATTCATCATCCCGCGCGTGAGATTTTTTTTTGGGGAGGGGGGGGGGAGCTAGACAGGCGAGCGAGTGAGCGAGCGAGCGGGCGAGTTGGTGAGAGAAAGCGAACGAACGGGCTTGGAGGGCTGCGCCGTCAGCGCTGGTATAGATAGGATAGCGGCGAACGAGGCGAGCGAATTAAGCGAGAGATGGCGCTGGAATAGCGACGAGCAAGGAGCATCGCGCACGATTCAAGCTCCGTTCGCTGTTGAGACTTGGCGTAAATAGGTGAAGGCGCGCTACGCAGAGGCACGTCGGAGCAGTGGCGTGTGAGTGGGGCAGAGCGCGCACTCACTCACGCAGACTCACTCACTCAAGCACAGGAGGGGTAAGGAGGCGCAGCACACGCACGCACAGGCGCAGAGGGGGTGTGAGAAGAGCTGCGCTGGTGCTGAGGAGAGTTATGCGCAAGAGTGGCTCGGGATGATGGGCAGGATGCGGCTCCTACTCCTGTGCAGCAGCCTCTGCGCCGTGGCGTTCCCGCACGGTAAGGAGATGGGAGCGCATTGCTCGGACGCAGCTCGCGCGCACACGCACACACGCGCACATGTACGTAGACACAGGCACGTGTACGCAGACACACACACACGTGTACGCAGACACACACACACGTGTACGCAGACACACACACACGTGTACGCAGATACACGCGTATGCAAACAAACACGCATACAAATACGTTTGCGCAGGCACATACACGCGTACGCAGGCACACGCATACACACACGTGTACGCAGGCACATACACACACGTGTACGCAGACACACACACGCGTACGCAGGCACATACACACACACGCGTACGCAGGCACATACACACACGCGTACGCAGGCACATACACACACGTGTACGCGAGCGCGTTGGCAAGCCCGTCCATACCCAAGTGCGCACACGTACACATGCACGTACGCGTACACACACACACGTAAGCAAGCGCACGTAAACACACGCGCAGACAAGCAAGCACACACACACACACGCCTTCTATACTGAAGCATGCTCGCAAGTAAGCAAAGCTTCCCGTATAACCTACGCAGGCCGTTGGGACAAGTGGTGAGAACCGATGTAGGCCCGAACTGCGTACGAAGGGGGGAAGGGGGGGTTGTTGTTGTTGGCCTGTGTCACGCCCGGCCGTATTTGTCTCACCAGTGGCGATGTTGTTGTGTTTGTTTACACACCGCACCAAGGAGGTATACTTTATTAGACAGTACAGTACTCGTGCAAGCCCACTACGCCACGGCTTCCCGCACACACGCGCACGCATGTAAACACTCACACGTGTGCGCACGTACGCAAGAGACGGAGATCAAGCAATGGGAATGTAACAACATCAAACAAACCATAGCGCACAGCTTTTGTGTGCGGCGTGCATACTACCGCGGGCTTCCCGCACACGTGCCACGAACCCATTGTCGGTATATCACACGCACCTGCTTGTGTGTGCTACGCAAGCACAATGACGAAAGGTCTCCCGTTGTCGCCTTTAACAGACTGCTGGGGGCAAGTGCTGTTAGCGAGCGCCTATGGAGGCCGCTAAGGCACACGTGGGGGTGCAGTGTGGCCAGCACCACGCCCGGACGCCTTTGTCTCCTGAGTGGCGATGTTTCACGCATCGCACCAGGTGCTCATTTGAGGCTTAGTCGACCTCGAGGGACGATCAGAAAATCATCTCTGCTGTTGACCGTGAGCCGGAATCGATCTCGTGAGACCGGGTTCGTGTGCGCAACCGCTTCGCTGCGTAAGCACGCGCACAGCGCAGACCTACGCGTGCAAGTCATTGTATTTGTTCATCCGTCAGGTGTCACGCGGGGAGCTAAGATTCCCTGAGTGTGGTTAGCACCCGGATGGGTGACCACCAGCAGGTGCTTGCCAGGTGTTGTAGGCGTAGAGGCTGCGAGATGTTGGTCAGGAGTTGGCAATGCTGAATACCACCCCCCTTCGTAACGCGCGGTGGGTTTTCTCCGGGGGTCTCCGGTTTCCTCCCGCACCAAGTCAAGCACATCATTCGTGGTTTACATGGACAAAAACAATCCCAATGGAGATGGCACCGTCGTGAGAAGAAGAAAACAAAGTGCTTAGACTCTCATCGCATCGTGAACTGTAGCGCGTCCGACAGACGGGGGGGGGGGGGGGGGCGTCTACCCGGAGGAGATGGAACGATGACATCGCGCGCTGGTGCTACGCGGATTAACAAAAAATACACCGCAGGATCGTGCGAGGTGGCGGTCGGACTGGGGTAGGCGTTCGTCCAGCAGTGGATCGAGCATGGCTGGTGGTGATGATGATTATGACGACGCCACCGCCTTACAGTCCTTGCGCGTTCGCGGGCTCGCTGGGTATTTCACGGCGGGTTTAGCGCATTGTCAATGCGCTGCAGGGTCATCGCACTCGATTGTGGGGGAGCGATTCAGCCTCGCTCGCTGCTCTGCATTCAGTGTCGAGGCGCCTGAAGGCGGTGCTGCGTGCGAGCCATTCTTTGCCGTTGGTTCTTTCCAGGGCAACCAACCCTTTCGCGCATGGATGATACAGTCAGCGGAGGCATGCGAATGGCCCTGGCGTGGCACTGTCGTCGGGAGTTCGCCAGAGGGACGCTTATTTTGTGGATTCGATTGTTCATTTCATAAATAATTATCACAATCAGCCATGGTCAATCCACTGCTGGACCAATGGCTTCGGCAAGCCGTCACCATCTCTCACAGTGCTGCAATGCTCACAATCCTCCGAAGCAGCTCCCCGTACACGCTAGTGGAGTTAATCGCTCCATCTCCGTTACATTCATTCCTCGGATGCCATTACAGTATTTTGACCATCAGCCATCATCATCACCCCCCTGACCATCCCTTCTTTACAACGTGTCCTGCAGAAGCGCATTTCCCGCCTAACAGTTCGATGTCACTGCTGTGGTTCCAGAGATATATTTAGACCTTGTTTTTTGTCTGACTTATTTTACATATTTATCCGGAAAAGTTACGCTGGGTCGTATAACTCCCATTCAAAAGGCTCCTGCATTGACTTTTTTCTTATTTTTTAGATGTTTTCAGCCAATCAACGAGTGTTTATAGGCATACTATTAATGGGATAAATTGGTCCTAAATCATAGACGTTTTGATTTCAAAACGAGTATATTGGTCTCAATGGACTCTTGCCTGCGTGGTTATAAAAAAGGCAAATTGTCAGTTATTTACTCGTATAGTGATTGATAATGGGCAATATTTGAAGTTAATTAAAGCGAGGTTTGACGATGCTGATGAATGGTGTAAACATATATTATAAATATACGCTGACATGAAAAAAATTGTTGTCACAAATATTTTAAAAGCACCCACACGTGCCATGCATTGCGCAGTCACCCATAACATCATCCGGTGCATTGTAAATATTAAACCGTTAAAGATGCCCTTTCTAAAATTAATATTGGACTTGGATAAACTTTATCTTGATCTATATTAAAAAAAAAAAACATCATACCGTTCGCAATTATTTATGAGTGATTTGCATAAATTACTGTTTCAGCCACTTAAAAAAACATATCTAATAAGCCTTAAAGGTAATGCGATTATGTGAGCAAATTATGAAGCGTAGAGCGACATCAGGTTTCAGATGCAGAAAACTCGGTTTTCTCCTCAACCGAGGTGAAATTGAGATTTCGATATTTTGTCTAAGGTGCGAAGAAAAGAGTTGTTATCTTCCATTAAACCGTGATTTATATAAAATATATAAAGAGATGCTACTACCACAGTGGTGTAATGGTTAGCACACTGGACTTGTAATCTTGAGATTGTTGCCGGTCCTATCTCCCGGAGTGGCAGTTGAAACAATTGCAAAAAGATTTCTCCCCCCCCATCCCCCCACCGCCTCTATCCCACCCAGCAGTATAAATTCACATATCCACAGTCAATCGGTAGGTCACGTGTGGTGGGGTAAAGTGTGGATGCTCACACTCCTTCCAAAATACATCTGACCAGCGTGCAAGAGTCGGTCAAAATATATGGCCTCGGCACATATAGCACACAACGCTTCCTCAAGTTGAGGAGGGAGGGGAGGTGCCCTTTCTGCCCAGCAGTGGCACGAGAAACCAATTTCAGGGCTGCGCCTTTGCCTGTATGTATACTTACATAGTTCCTGTGTCCACGACGATGAATAATGCATGCCCGAGGCAAAACACCCCCCCCCCCCCACCCTGTGCTGACCTGGGAGGGGAAGGAAATTCCTCTTCCTGGCCAAAGCTTCTCCGAGGCGACGCTGGACGTAATGGTGATGGCTTGATGATAATGGTGATGTTATACACAAAGATCCCCTCCCCTATATCCTGAATAGACTGTTGGGGCAAGTGTTGTTAGCGAGCAACTACGAAGGTCGGAATGGGACACGAAGGGGTGGGTGGCCAGCACCACGCCCGGCTGCCTTTGTCTCCCCTAGTGGCGATGTGTACACGCCGCACCAGATACTCATTTGAGGCCGAGTCGACCTAGAGGAGGCCTGGGACCGGTTCAGATAATCGTCACCGGTGTTGGCCGTGAGATGGAATCGAACTCGGGTCGCAGGGTTCGTAGCGCAGCGTAGCGCTAACCGCTACACCACCGCCCCCCACGTGATGTTACACGCACACACATACACACAGACACACACACACACACGTGATCGCACGCACGCACGCGACTTACAGCACCCAGGCAACGGAGCCAATGACGCTGGGTGCCTTTTAACGCCACTCGGGGCAGCAGTAGCAGCAGCAGTAGCGGCAGAAGCGTCGTGTGAGTGCGTTCATAATTACTGTCATGCTGAATTATTATACGTGCTCTGGGATAGGTGTTCAGGACTGATTGGAACGTGGTTGGGTGGGGGGAGGGGGAATTCAAGTGGAGACTCATAGGCCACCCATTCCTCTTGGTCGCAATTTGGTGCACGCGGCCTCGACTCGTGGCTCGTTGTCGTCGTCCGCCTTGCACGTGCACTTTCGCGTCTGTCGCTGTCGTGTTCCCGCTGCCTGGCGTGAACAAAATAAAACCAACGGCCATGACGACGCCCAACAGGCACGAAGCCCAGTTCAATAGTTTTGTCACGGAGGTATTATTTGAAAGAAAATAAAGAACAATATGTTATTTGTTTTACCCTTTCTGGCAATTAAACCAGTTGTGTTAAGATGCTCAAACACCAAGGCATCAAGTCTGCATTAACCACACACAATTGTTTGCAAAACGTTAGAACAATCATGCTCTGACCAACACGTTCTGTTTACGTGACAACCTTTTATAGTTGGCTGTGTCGGGTGGTGGCGGGTTTTAACGACACATTTCATATATTTACGCGTTCTAACCCCCCCCCCAAAAAAACCCCCTTAAACATGCTCTGATAATTATATATTGGCATTGTCTTTGAAAAGTGATTGGCCTACACCAGAGACAGGCTTCTTTATGGCCTAGTCTCACCAGTGGTAGACCAGAAAACACCAAAATGCGAACAGAACCAAGACACTGCAAGTATCGG